GTAATATTTTAAATTTATATAAAGTTTTTAAGAAGGTACACAATAAAAGAATTGCTGCTTTTATTCTACTCGATACATGTATACTTGTATATACATTCTTAAATTTTGCCCCTGGTAACTTTGTTAGAAACAAATCAAATATTTATTGTAGTATCTTATACATGTTGAACAAAGCCAAAAAAATAGGTTTCTTTTACTAAGATTGATAGGATGAAGATGTGAGAATGAATTGTAAGCCTGAAGTAAAAATTGCTTAAAATTTTTTTCCAAGAAGAAAGGCTGTGTTGTTTGATGATAGCCAAAGACTGACTGAGCATTTTGGCAGTATTCCGAATTCTGCCACTGACTCACTGTGTTTTTTGGCAAGTAATTTATACTCCCTGAAACAAGTTCTTGATTCTTCTCTGTTTGTAAAGTTAGTATAATAATATTGTACTGACCTCAGATGGGTTGTGTAATGGTTTTCCACTTCAGAACTTTTCGGTGTAAAAATAGTATGGATTTCAGTACCTTGCTTTTTAAATAAATATTTCTAAATTGTTATCTTTTTATTAGGTAAGTATATTGGAGAGATCATTTAAATGCAAAACAAAACAAAACCTTCATTAAGCTATTCAAAATGTAGCCAAGCTTTTTAGCCTGATGAGTTTTTAGTTATTTATAACATATTAAGAACTGTACTCTATAAAATATGAATGATTGTTTTATTCATTTCTTTTAGTGTCAGAAAAAAGAAGAATTTATTGAAAGAATTCAAGGTTTAGATTTTGATACAAAAGCAGCAGTTGCTGCACATATTCAAGAGGTAATAACCGGTATACAATTTTTATGTACTTTTAATAATGCTTGTGGTATTTTTATTTGTATATCTCCCAAAATACTTAAAGTCATAGATTAAGCAAGAACAAATCAAAATCAGATATAGACGAATTGTTTTAGACAAGTTGTCTTCTTCTCTTTAAAGACTTTTCTTAAATGAATCATCTTACACATGGCACAGTGCTGACTAGAGATATACCATTGCCTTTATCTATAGGGATATAGGCAGAAAGTGCTGTTTGAGGAATGGAGTATATTTCTTTGTTAGACAGCACAGCATGAATAAATAGTATAGTAAATGGAAGCAGCAGAAAGTGGATCACTGTCTGTAATTCAAAACTGAGGTGAGGTAAAATGATAATCTTAGTATCATAACATTCTAGTGATTTTTTTGAATGAATGAGCATAGCATAGTTTTTATTGAAGATGTTACTTGAATTTTAAACACATCAGTGACTTGTAACATCCATATAAAAACCTAAATGTAGGATATATTGTGCAATGTCAAATAATTGAAGTTAAAATTTACTTGTTAAAATTGTTTTTAAAAGCTGCTACTTCTGCATCTGTCTAGTCTTGGGCTTTTAATCTTGTTTTACTTATTAGACTTTTTAGAACTGCAGTTTGTTAACTTGTACATGTTGATTAGAAAGAGAATTAAGGAAAGGCAAAGGAGAGAATTTTAAAATAGTGAAAATTGGTAGTGTTTAAAATATTCTCTACTTAAATGACTTTGTGTTCCATATATCATCTTTTCTTAGTTACCATTCATAGAGCCCAGCTTTCTTGTCAGTAATATTGTCAGCAGTAAGCATGTTAGTACTCTACAAGATATAGTTATATTGGTAGTTGCCCTTTATGTATTATGTTTGTTTATTTATGCTTGTATTGCTATTTCTATTTTATTTTGAATAAATGCTAAGTGTTGCAAGTTGCTGAATTTGCCACCATTTCTTAAAAGTGATATTTTTGCTCTATATTGTGAACATTAAAGCAAAATGATGGAACATACAGTGAGAAGTGGAAAGCAAGAAATAAGTACTTTACTTATATAATTTCCATTCTTTAAATATATTGGGAGTCCTTTTCTCCTAAGGTTCTATGACAGTATCATCTTCAGAATCTATGAAGACTTAACTTTTCCAGCATAATAGCAGTAACATATACCCTACAGGATTAAAAAACTTTTGCTTTTGAATTCAAGTACAATAAATTTAGTCTTATCTAAGGAAAAGATCAATTGATTTTGTTAAAGTAGTTGTCAGGCATATTAATATTACCTTCCCTTAGAAATGCCTAGAATTATGTATCTTATTTTTTAATTGTAAAATAAGTATAAATTCATTTAAAGATTATGTTTAGTTAAGATTGTTTTTATTGGAAGCCTTTTCATTCATTAATTTCACATGTCCTTTTAGACATCATATTTACTTTTCATATTTTTATTATGTGGGATATATAATTTTAAATATTAAATATATAATATTTAAGTTAATATTGTACTAAAATGAAATTGATTTTTAAATATTATCCATTTTTAAAAATTATTTATTTTGGTTACTTTTCTAAAGGTAACTCATAATCAGGAAAATGTGTTTGATCTACAATGGATGGAAGTGACTGATATGTCTCAGGAGGAAGTAGAACCACTCTTGAAAAACATGGTATTGCATCTAAAAAGACTTATAGATGAGAGAGATGAACATTCAGAGGTTTGTAAATTTCTTTCAGTATATTTGCTTTCTAAGAAAGAAGCTTCAGAGATTTTCCAGAATTGATACTCTGTTTATTAGGGACAGGTAATAAAGGCAACACAGGAAACAGAAAGAATGCCTAAGAGCCCCACGTTGCTAGTAAACAGATTGCAATTAGGTTTCTTTTCTCATTCCTTTTGAATTATTCTGATTTTGTTCTTCTGTATTTTTAAACTCATCTCCATAGTTCTGGCAACAGAACAGAAGTATAAAACTAAAAATATCTTTGATATAAGTGGAAAAATCACTGCCTTGGAGTATAAGAATTTGCTTAAGGCTAATTTTGTAGTTTTATTGCACATTTTGAGATTGGAGAAATAAGTGTTAATAAAAGGAGAATAACAGGTGTTCTGAATAAAATGTCCCACGAAGGTCTCAAATTTTTCTAGTCAGTGTAATGAGGTGTGATTTTAAAAAAGAGAATTATTATAAGCTCCTTTAAGAGAGTACTTTGCTTTTTAAAAAGAGTGAAATTGCACCAGATTTTTTTGCCTGTACTCTCTGAAAGCAGCTTGTAATTTTTAGAGGAGTCTAGACGTTAGTGCATTTGGTGATGAGTAATATTTTCTTAATAGCAGACTAAGTACTCCATCATTCAGGAGAATGTAAAGCTTTGATTTGTTAATCATTTACATGAGAGAGTCAGATGTGAGCTATTTATAGAGAATTTGATTACTCTTGGGACTATTAAAAGACTACTTAGAAGAAATTTCTAAAGTTTTTTTTTTGGAACAAAAAACTTTCGTGTCACTGTCACTATAAACATTTCTGATGGGAATTTTCAGTTTTTATTCAGGCATTAAAAGAGAAGAAAATATAGGAAATAAAGTGTTTTAGAGCAATAACTAAATTTTTAAAAAATCTAAGAACAAAGGAAGAGCTCAGTGAATTTCTAGTATCTATCCAACATATCCCAATATTTCAGTCACTTCACTTTCAATCTGAGTTTTGAACTGTATGCTGTATCTTTTTACGTTAGTGTCTTTTTATTGTTAGATCTATTTCCTATAACATTTCTCTGTTTACATTTCAAGATATTAAAAGTATTTTGATAAAGTGCCCTCCAGCTTCTGAGGAATTGCTTCTAAAAATCTATGCTTTGGTTTCATTTGACTGATGGTTATGTATAAATTGTGTAA